AAATGTAATTTAGGAGCTTTTGAGTGAAATTAGGGATTGATCTGTTGATTAGACTTGGGTTTAAGAGGGTTTGTGACCATTTTGCTCATAAGTTACATTTACTGTTCATGCGCACTGTTTACGCGCACTATTCACGAGCACTGTTTACGCGTTTAATTTTAATTAATTGCAGTAGAAAATCTCATGGAATACGTTAGTTATGGCATTGGATTAATTTTGGTCCAGTAGTGATGTATTATTTATTGGGGTTTTGTTTGGTTGTTGAGAACGTGATGGGAAAATGAAAAGGGGAATGGTTATTAATTCTTGGATATTTTGATTAGGTTCTTGGGTGTTCTGTCGCCCGAGTACTAGGATTGAATCCTCGGTTTATGCAAGTGAAGTAAGTAAATTATGGTAAATTCCTTCGATTTTAAAGCATGTTTTAAATTGTTTTTGAGATGGTGGCAAGGTTTAAATTGATTTTATCAGCATCTGAGTATGATTAAACTGATATGAAAATTGTGATGATTTTTATAAAAATTATTATTTTCTAGAATTGAGCATGATTGGAATGAAAATGAGAATTTCATTGTTTTTCTAGAGTTGAGCATGCCCACATGAAATTTTCCGATTTATTCTTGAAATTGAGATTAATGGTGAATTATGGATTTTCTGTAAATTCTGCATGGTTTTGTCTCTAATATAGTCATGATTACTGACGCCCACTAGTGGGAGTTTGCAAACGCTAGCACATGTCGACATGTATTTCTGTAGAATCGATCCATCCTGCCAATGGGATAATACATTGGTAATTACTGACGCCTGCCAAAGGGAGTTGTTAAACACTGGTACCATTACTGACGCTTGCCAATGGGAGTTTGTTAAACATTGGTACTTCTGTAACCCTGCCAATGGGGTTAAACATTGATTATTACTAACGCCTGTCAGTGGGAGTTGTTAAACACTGATACCACTACTGATGCTTGCCAGTGGGAGTTTGTTAAACATTAGCCATGACTTATAGATGAGACTACTAATGAGTTTTATTATGCATGAATAGTTTATCATTGAAAGTTCTATTATGCTTACATGGTTTATCTGGCATGCTTAAATTTTTTTACCAAGGGCTATCCATATTTTTACTTACTGAGATATTTTATCTCATAGTTTTCCTTGTCCACCATTTCAGGTAGTGTGACCCGAGGAAGAGGAAACCAAGGGGAGTGACGAGGTAGAAGGCTAGCCATATTGTAATTGGATATGAAATTTTAGATATAAATTATGATCTTGTAAGCTAGATTTTATTTGGAGATTTTATGATATCAGAGTAATTTTAAGATTTTTATCTTCCGATTTTTGTGGTATCAGATAGTGATTTGAATAAGTTCCGAGCCTTGTGCACTTATGGGACCCGTCTCACAAGTGCACGGCATCTACCACATCTCGGATTTGAGTTATGGGGCGTGACACTAAAGATACAACTTCCTCTTACCCTTCCTAGTCATTTCTACCCATTAAAACCCTATTAATATATGCATATATATTCCTATGCATAATCATACTTAAAACATGCCTAAAATATCAACAAAAGACCTTACATGTGGCAGGTTTACTAGGCAAATTTGCTGGACAAAACAAAGTGAAAAATGTGAGAAAACCAAGCTCAAAACTACCACAAATAGCAACACAAAAGCTAGGCAGTATGGTGGGGATTTTTGCTATTTAGAATAATTCTAAAATGCTTAGAAAAGGCCCTGAACAACAAGGATTTCTAGGTAGAAAGACATCAGTAAAACAGGGTAGATTACAAGTCAAAACTAGGTAGCATTCAAGCCAAAAATGTAGTAGCAAAAAAGGCAACCAAAACAAGGCAATAACAAGGGGTTTTAGAGAAGGAAAATAGCAACTAAAGATCTAGTAAAACCATAATGAAATATGGCAGTAGGTATAGTGGGGATAAAGCAGAAAACAGGGCAAATTTCTAGGTACTTTTGAGAGCAATTCTAATCAAATTTTGAACTGGAACTTCCAACAAAATTCGCACCCAGAAATTGACCAATCTGGATTGAGTGATCAACAGATAAATTGTAGCCCTATGTTTTAGTGTTCTATAGCCTCAAGATTCACCTTAATCCAACTTCTAAAGAGAAAGTTATAGTCAAAATATACTTAGGGTCGGGCTGCCAGTTAAGTTTGTCAGTGGGAATCGAACTTGCAGCAAAGTTTACACCATGAAAACAGTTTAAATAGGTTAAATGTCCAACATAAAAGTTGTAGGGCTATCTCTTAGCTTTCTACAGAACTAAAAATTGACTTAATCTGATAACTACAAAAGGAGTTATGGGTAAAATACTATAGCAAGGTCATGCTATCAAAATTTTTCCAACATAAAGAGATCATATTCTAGTAGTGCTTGATTATGGGCAAAATCAAGGAAAAAACTATAGAAACACTCCCAAAATTGGAAATCCTAAATGATTGGAGCTAACCCAATTCAAATCAACAATGTAAAGATGAGCAATATAGCTAATTTCTTACCCAAAAAGTGCTGGAAAGTGGCAACTTCCTTGTATATTGCTAAAGAACCCGACATGGACCAGAAAATTGGGGGATAACAGCAGCAAGATCTGGTTTTTTCATCATTATTTGAGAATTATAAACTCATAAATTTCTAACCTTTACTAGGAGAAGAAAGAAAAAGGCCAACTCTCACCTAGTTCTTGGCAAAAAGAGGCTGGGCACAAGCTAGGGATTTTGGAAGCAAGGTTCTAGTGAGGAGTTGGGGAAAACACGCAAAAAGGCGAAGGGAGGAAAAAGGAAAGTCAGCTCAGCCCCTTTTACCACCAAACTTCACTTTTAACCCCCTCAAGTTTGTGAATTTTGGTTACTAGGCCCAAAAATAATAATTTCTACCACAAAAGTCCTTAACTTAAATTCTAAAATTTCAAAAAATTTTGGGATATTACAAATATATTAAGAGGCAAGGGAGAGGAGTATGGCTTAGAAAAGCCCAAAATCATGTCTTGAACATCTTTTTGAACTTGAACAGCAACTACATGCTTTAGCTTGAAATTTTGCTAATGAACTTTGTAATTCCTCTACATCCACACATGGTATATGGTTATGTTCCATGTTAGTATATTTAGGGTCACATGCATAACTTTCTTATTGATTCTTTTCCCCAACCAAGCTACAAATTAAGATAAGAATCTAAGAAAGAAATACCAACCATAGAAGACAGACCCTATCAAATTTTCATTAAGTAATAAAACTTAAAAAATGGCTTAATTCAATTTTTAGTCTATTAACTATCAGTTTGATTTCAATTTAGTCTAAAAAGTTTAGTTTCTTTCTAAATGGTCTATAAACTTTGGAAATATTTCAAAATAGTCTACCAATACAAAATTTCATTAGATTTAACTAAAAAAGTAGTCCTTTAAGTTTTAAAAAAGTGACATTATATCCTAATAAAATATGATGACTCAAGACATATTTTATAGAGATAGATTAGTTAAAATTTGTAATAAACGTGAGCAACTAGTCTATTTTACATGACAGATTGTATACAGTCTATTCTAAAAAATTATTTAAATATTCTTAAAAAATAATATAAAAATAAAATTAAGGGCATTTAAATAATTTTACAGGACAGACTGCATACAGTTTACTTTGTAAAATAGTTTTCTGAAGAACACATTTAGCAAGATAAGATTAAAAACTATTCTTACGATGAATATAAATTTAAGGACTAAAAGATAAAAAAAAATATAGTTAGAGGATTAAATATTTTGTTAAAGAATAAGAAGATTCCATTAAACATAACAGATATTTCAGTTAAATATAACAGAATAGATGAAATTGAAATAAATGTGAAAGTTAATGGACAGGATTGAAAGAATTCAAAGATAATAGATGAAACTGAAAAGAATATGAAAGTTAATAGATGATTTATTAAATTAACTCCTTAAAAAATAAAGGCTCATAAGTTTTAGATGCTATGCCATAATGAGAACAAGTGTTATCAATGCATAGTGTCTATTTTTTTTGCCTTGCCTTTATGCTAACCTATTTAGAGTGGCTAACTAATACAATTGTGCCTAAGAATAGAGTTTGGAAACCACATTAGCATTAACTAGTAGACTTTATTGCACTTTTTCCTTAACAAATTCCATTTTTTTCCTAAATGAAACTTGCTAGAAGTAAAGCAACCAAACTACAACATCCTTTTCCCTTTCTTTAGGATATAACCCACCTCATAGGGCAACTTGTAATAGAATCAACTAAGGTGAATGAGTAAGATGACAATTTCAGTAATTCCAATGCTTGGAAAGGCAAAATATCATCATAAACTATTCTAGAACCATACACTATAATCATTGGACTAAAGGTGTACCAAGCATCATGCTAGAGAAAAATATCATTACCATCACTTGGAATATCAAGTGGCCTAGCTTTGTGTCTAAGCTAAGAATTTTCCTCCAATTCCAAGAAGCATCCACAAGGGTTTAAATGGTCTAAAAACTACAACCTTTTAACAGGTATTAATGTCCCTAGTCCACCTAAAAAACTCCTACTTGTGAAAAATCATTCAGGTATATCTCATAATGTTGGCAATATTCTATTGTTCAAGCCCCTTAATGCCCAAACCATCTTCTTATAGGAAAACAAACATCCACTTATGTACCCTTGTTAGACTCAATTGAATTATTCCAAAGAAAAGCGTTGCCTTTCTATTTAATAATCTTGATTATGTTCTTGGGAAGAATAAAAATAGATAGCCAAAAGTTGATGATTCCTTGAATAACAAAGGATATTAACCAATGTTTTTGGACCCGGCTCGGCCCCGCTGGTTGAACCGGTTGAACCGGACCGAGCCTAAAAACGGGCCGGTTGAAGGCTTCAGCCCGTTTAGGTGAATGGCCCGTTGAAACCCGTTGAAACCCGTTGACACCCGGCAAGCCCGTCGTGCTCGCTAAACTCGTGTGACCCGCCATGCTCGCTCGGGCTGAAATTTTCAGTTTTTCACCATCTTTTTAATTGTAAGTTTTTGTCTTTTGACTTAAATTAAAGTTTAAAACCTAAATTAAAAATCAATTAAACTAATTAACTAAGTAAAAACTAAAAACTAAAAACTAAAAACCCAAGAATCTAAAATCATCAGCAGCCGAGACAGTGGAAACTGGAAACAAATTGCAAAACCCAGATTCAGGAGGAACCAAGTACCAACAGAACTGCAGAAGGGTCTTCCGCCGATCGTCCGCCACTCCGCCGATCTTCTCTTTGCCGATCGTCCGTCGATTTCTCTTCCACCGATCGTCCGTCGATCTTCTCCTGTGTCACTGCACTTCTTCTCTTCCGCCAATCTTCACCATCTACCTCATCTGATTGGCTCAAAACAGAACAGATCGTCTTCGGGAAAGTGGTTTCTCTCCTCTGCTGAGCACCTCCTCCTCATCTCCTCTGTTGACTGCCAATCACCTCCTCCTTCCTCACTGGACTGAAATAGCAAAGCAAAACAAGTCACACTGTTGCAGAACATACCATCTCCTCCATCGTTGCCCTCCTTCTCTTCCTCATCTCCTCTGTCGATGCCTTTCTTCTCTCTGCTCCACCGAACAGAAGTAGCAACGAAAATCAGAATCTTCCTCGTCATTCACTCAATAGAAGCAGCAAAGCAGAACTTCTTCTCCTTCGCTGCCCGCCTTTTATTCCTCATCATCATTTTGAGCATAATTGGATTATTTCTTAAAAATAGAGTAAAACTAACCTACAACAATAAAATTCATTAAAAATGTCAAAAAAAAAAAATTTTAGTTAACCGGTTGAACCGGTCGAGTGAACCGGTTCAACCGGTTGACCCAGACTCGGTGGTCAAAATGGGCCAGCCACCGGGCCAGCCACCGGGCCAGGTTCAAGAACATTGATATTAACTACTACCAGCATAAGAAGGATACTTGGCAATCCAAGTGTTCATTCACTCTGTTATCTTGGCAACAAGTGCCCTAAGCTATGTTGACGACCAGTTAAGACTAAGTGTGGAAAATGTAAAAGAAGGGAGCCGTCACTCATCCAAATTATAAGGTGGGACAAGTCCCCTAAAAACAGATCTGCGCAGAAATCGAGGTTTGGGGGTTCGGTTAGAAGTGAGGAAGGGCATACGCGCATCTTACAATCCTCCGTCTAAACATGGCTGCATACTTTAACATTAGGGTTTTGATTCAACTTAATCATTATATTTATGTTTAAGTCTTAATAGGCAAACTTAAAAAAAAATAAATCAAATTGAAACATTTTTAAATTTTTGGGACTAACATGGACTAAATCAAAGACATACATGCACAACAAACATAAATGAAAAGTTAAGAGACTAATTTGATTAAATTCAAAAAAAGTAGAGGACTGATTTGAAAAGAATTGAAATCCATGGACTAAATTGCTTAATCTTGAAAGTTTTGGGTGAAATTTAAAATAAACAAAATTAATTTTGACTTTGATCAAAATTAAGGAAAATTCAAAGATTTAGATTAAAAGAAATTAAAGATTTAAATTAATTAATCATGATAATTAATTTCATTGAATGATTAATTTGACATTAATTAAAATTAATTAATCACATTATTTAATCTTCAATCAAGACAATTAAAACATAATTATCTTTAAATTAAAGATCAATAAATATAATTAATTTATTTCAATTAAAATTAATTAATGGTATTACTCATAAACTAAATTAATTATCTTAATTAATTAATTCTTTTATTAATATATACATTTTTAAACTTACTTTTTTTTTAGTTAATTTTTTTTAGTTTTAGTTTTTTTTTTAGTTTCTTTTTTATATTGGATTGGATCGGATCGGATCAACCCGACCCAAAAAAAAACCTAATCCATCAAGCAAACATGGAAGAAATAGATCAAACATCAAACAAAACTAAATCTAAATCTAGGGTTCATGTCATTAAAAAATAAAATAACAACATTCAACGACATAAAAAGGAACATGCATAATAAACTGAACAACTTTTGATTCTCATTCATTTTCCAGTAAATGTATACAAACTTAAACATTGAATCTAAGAAAATACAGAGAAAATCAACAAAATAAAAGAGACACCCACGGCAAAGTTTTTTTAAGAAGATAGATCCAGATCTGATGGGAGGGATCCCACCCACGGGATCAGGCTCCCATCGTCCCCTTCACCACCATTCCCAAAAAACTCCTCTGTTCAGAAAATTACCTACAAAGATAAACCCAAATCTCCTCCCAAACCACCGCCTCTCTCCAACAGAACTCCTTTTCTTTCTGCCGCCGTTCTCAATACCTATCTCAAAACCAAAAAAGACCTTTCATTCTGCTCCTAAAACCCCTATTTATACTCCTAAAAAAAAAACCCCTATCTTCTACTCAACACCAAACCCAAACTCTAAACCAAAATGGACCTAAACCTCACCCAATCCAATTCACATCTGCTGCGGAAGGCCCGGTGGTGAGGGTTTTTGGGCCAATTTTGCAAGAGAAGTGGCCTGGTCTTTTTACAAGCCAATGGATTGCTTTTCGATTGCAGAAAGACCTCCGGCCAGTTCAAGTACAAGCTGCTGAGTTGCAATTTTCTGACCGTTGTCTTGTCACCATCGCGTGTAACAGTCACCAACATTCCCAATCGACAGATTCGGCTTCAATTGCTCCTGTTCTGCTATTCACTCGCCGGCATGGTGGGTGCTGGGCCACGGGAATGGTTAAGGAAGAGGAAGAATTTTTGTGTTTTGTCCCTTTTGCGCAGCTGTCGGCAACCCAAACTTCCACATCTGAAATCATTTCATTTTTCTTTTTTTCTTTTTTTTTTTTTTTTTTTGTTCTGTGATGATCGGAGATGAAGATACCGGAGAAAGATGGAGAAGTCGAAGATGGAGGTGATGGTCGATGACGCCGGTGGTGGTGGTGATTGGAGAAAGAGGAAGAAGGTGGCTGCCGGCTGATTTGAAGGGAAGGAGAGAGAGGGGGAGAGAGAGAGAGGCCGAAAATGGGGTGAGGAAGAAGAAGGTTTGACCTTTATCCTTTTTCTTTTTTTTTTTTTTGGGTTTTGGGTTTTGGATGGTTGGTAGGTTTTGGGTTTTGGGTAATTTGG